GATTTATTCTCCCTTTATTGTGTATCYGATCTCAGCAGCTGAAGGTTTGGTTCATTCTTCACGTGAATTCTGCATCATACACTAAAAACGAGACCAAATTTGCATTTTTACTTTTTGTTACAAAGACAGACCAAATCAGCATCAAAATGTCAACAAAGAAACAGTCCAACAAGAAATCCAACAGTCAGGATTATTCCGTTCTAAACACTACTGACAACAAGTGTCAACTATTTGTAACTTTTCAACAGGTGCTTTGAAGCCCAGTCTTAAAGATATATGTGTCTGTTTCTAGAACGYGAACCGAGAGCTGGGACCAGAATAAGCAGACTTTTAATTTTACATTTGAAAATTTGAAACTTAATGTAAACATCTGGTCTGAGAATGCTGGGACGTGCTGAACTTAAAGTCCAAACTATTGGACTTCTGAAGTTTTGTCGTGGGAGACCTATTATGGTGGTTTCTTGGGACCAGGCAAAGACCTTTGAAATGAATTTTGGATCAGACAAACCTGGTCCAGTTTTACCAGAGCCTAATTTCAACACTCTTCTGTGACAATAAAGTCAGTCTTAGAAGTGCTTTTATGAATGTACAGATGGATGAATGAATTGATTGCTTGAATGAACTTTTTCGTCTTGATCCTTTTTCTTCAAGGGTTTCCACATTTATCCTCTGTTCTCACACCAACTGCAGCTTTCCTCTCTAACGAGTCCGACATCCATACACAGCTCCTCTTTGGCCTTCATCTTTGTCTTTTTTCTGCCAGCTGTATCTCCAACATCCTTCTACCAACGTACCCACTCTCCCTCGCCTGGACACGTCCAAACCATCTCATTCTGGCCTCTTTCACTTTATCTCCCAGTTGTTCAACCTGTGCTGTACTTCTGACCATCTCATTCCTAATCTTATCCATCCTTCAAAAGAGAACCTCAACATCTTCAGCTCTGCCACTTCCAGTTGTCTTATTTCTTCTTGTCGCTGTCTCCAAACCAAACAACAAAGCTGATCTAACTTTTCTCTTGTAAATGTTTCCTTTGACCTTTGCTGCCACCCTTTTGTCACAAATCACTCCTGAAACTTTTCTCCATTCCCTCCATCCTGCCTCACACTCCCTGTTTTCCTGGACAGTCTAAGTACTCGAGGTCCTGCACTTTGGGGACCTATGACAGCTTGTTCCACCTGCCTCCTGACTTTCATTACTTTTCTTTCAAGTGAATACCTCCATCTCTCCAAGTTCCCTTCCACCTGTTCCCTGTTCTCATCACTGATCACAAAATCATCTGCAAACATCGTAGTCCATTGACTGAACTGATGAACTGTCTTCTATGTCCTTACATGTTTGAAATCTAAAACAGAAAGTACTTTTGAGAGTCACTGAGGCTAGAACTCAGGTCCAGGTGTCAATAAAATACAGCAAAGTAGATACAGCGGGTAAAATAAGTATTGAACACGTCACCATTTTTCTCAGTAAATATATTACTAGAGGTGCTAATGACATGAMATTTTCACCAGATGTTGGTAACAACCCAAGTGATCCATACATACAAAGAAATCAAACCATAAATGTCCAGAAATGAAGTTATTTGTAATAATGTGGAATGGCACAGGGAAAAAGTATTGAACACATGAAGAAAGGGAGGTGTAAAAAGGCATGGAAAGCCAAGACACCAGCTGAACTCTCTCAGTAATTAGAAAGTAAGCCTGCCCCTTGTCAGTGCAAGTTAATATCAGCTGGTTCAGTCCCAAATGATGGCCAGGTATCACACAAGAACCATCTGATGATGGGTAAAAGTAAAGAGCTCTCTCAAGACCTTCACAACCTTATTGTTGCAAAGCATCGGTTACAGAAGAATGTCTAAACTTCTGAAGGWTCCAGTGAGCACTGTTGGGGCCATAATTCAGAAGTGGAAAAAACATYATTTCACCATAAACCGACCACGACCAGGTGCTCCTCGCAAGATTTCTGACAGAGGAGTGAAAAKAATTATCAGAAGAGTTGTCCAAGAGCCAAGGACCACTTGTGGAGAGCTTCAGAAAGACCTGGAATTAGCAGGTATGATTGTTTCAAAGAAAACAATAAGTAATGTACTGAACCACCATGGCCTGTATGCACGCTCACCACGCAAGACTCCACTGCTGAAGAAACAGCATGTTGAAGCTCCTTTAAAGTTTGCTGCACAACATTTAAACAAGCCTGTGYAATACTGGGAGAATATAGTCTGGTCAGATGAGACCAACATTGAACTGTTTGGATGCCAGAATACACATCATGTTTGGAGGTCAAATGGCACTGCACATCAGCCCAAAAACACCATACCAACAGTGAAGTTTGGAGGTGGGAACATCATGGTGTGGGGCTGTTTTTCAGCATATGGTACTGGCAAACTTCAAATAATTGAAGGAAGGATGAGTGGAAAAATGTACAGAGATATTCTTGATAAAAATCTGCTTCCATCTACCAGGATGATGAAGATGAAACGTGGCTGGACATTTCAGCAAGACAATGAGCCCAAACACAAAGCCAAGGAAACTCTCAGTTGGTTTCAGAGAAAGAAACTAAAGCTGCTGGAATGGCCCAGCCAATCACCTGACCTGAATCCAACAGAAAATCTATGGAAAGAACTAAAGATCAGAGTTCATAGAAGAGGTCCACGAAACCTTCAAGATTTGAAGACTGTTTGTGTGGAAGAATGGGCCAAAATCACACCTGAGCAATGCATGCCACTAGTTTCTCCATACAGGAGGCGTCTTGAAGCTGTCATTGACAACAAAGGCTTTTGTACAAAGTATTAGATAAATTTCAGTAAGTGTGTTCAATACTTTTTCCCTGTGCCATTCCACATTATTACAAATAACTTCATTTCTGGACATTTATGGTTTGATTTCTTTGTATGTATGGATCACTTGGGTTGTTACCAACATCTGGTGAAAATTTCATGTCATTAGCACCTCTAGTAATATATTTACTGAGAAAAATGGTGACGTGTTCAATACTTATTTTACCCGCTGTACATAGGCCAAGTTTGTTTACATTCATACTCACTATAAAATGTACAGCATATGTTACATATCATCTTTACACAGTCTAAGAACGGTTCTCTATGTACAATTGCAAAAAAATTTAGGGATTTYATCCAACTTCATTGGAACTGAAGTTGTAGGTTTTTAATCCTTGATTCAAAAGAATTCCACATTCTGACAGTTTTCTGGAAATTTATTCCAGATTAGTGGAGCATAAAAACTGAATACTGCCTCTCAGTGTTTGGTTTATACGAGTGTGAAGTCAAAATATTTACCTCCTAAACAAATACTAATCTTAGCAGTACTTTCATTTCCTGCAGTTAAGGGCTAATGTGTTTCCCTGATATGCTGTATAAAGAGGAACACAAGGACTGGTAAAGCTGTCTTTTCCTGTTTACTTTAGTTGCTATAAAGTCAGAGACACACTTGCAGGTTTATTGTCACGGTTGGCGCACTGCTGGTGTCAGGTTCACTGCAACAGAGATCTAGTTGTTACATAACACAAGCCTTTGATAGCAGAAAAAAAATATGGATTTCTATAAAAAACAGTGCTGAGTGATCAAACAGGTTGAGGAGCAGAAATGGACACAAACTCAAAAGTCATGAGTCTCCCAGCAGAACTTTTAATGGTCCTAACAGATGACTGTTATTGTGTGTGTTGACAGTCATTAGACACAGAAACACATAGAGTATGGTGAAGATTATCTGTTCTCAAAATAAATTTCCATTTGTAAATAAAGGCCGAACTTTCCTGCTGATGTTTTTACACCAAAAGCATCTTTGTTGGGAAGCGACAGAGTAAGTTTTGGTCACACTTTAAAATCGTGCAATCTGTTTCKCAGCTATGATCATATCACATTTTTTTTTGCTCAATGCAAAACTGACTGAGTTATAGCATCTTTATGGTGGATAGTTTTGATCAGCTGTGGCTGCCATCTTGAATTGGCTTGGCTCCAAATGATTGTCAGTTGTAGATGCACATCCAAAGATTAGTTTCTGAAAATTTATTTAGAATATGTCCAGATGTTTAAGAGATATTTTGCTAACAGACAAGCAGGAATCTTTTGATGGTTTGTGTTAATGTTTAAAGCTAAAAGTCTTGCGTAAGGAGTAGCCCTTAAAGTATGTGTTGTGGATGACTCTCAGCTACAATCTGAACAAATTTTAGATCAATATCTTTAAAACTGACTGAATTATAGCCATTTTGGTGTTTTCTATGATCAGTTAGCTGTGGTGGCCAAATTGAATGCGGCGGATTCCAAAAGGTAATCATTTGTAGATGTAAAACCAGTGATTACTTCTTGAGAGAATCATTAACACAGGACCAGTGGTTCAGCATATATTTTGCTAACAGGCACAGAGCGCATAGAGCCACCACTGAAGCAGCTTGTTGTTGTTGTTAATGGCCAGCAGGTGGCGCTCTGTCCTAACAAACAGCTGTGAGGGCTGACCCACAGCTGTGCTCACACAGAAGCAGCCACGATAAACTTCATGTCATTCAGAAAGAAAAGAGCAGCGTTTCTTCAGCACTGATCAGACACATCAAGTCATGTCAGCTGAGCTATTGAATCAACCCTTTTTCTTTTCTGTAGGACAAAAAAATACATAAAAACAATATTTTCACACATCCCTATTGAAATTTTTAAATTAAAAAAATATGCTAAAATACGCAATCAAACAGAAAAGTGCACTCTGGTTATTTGTTGCATCAAAACACAGTTTAATTAAGGATATCAAACTAAAGCATCTTCAAGATTTTAAGTTTTTTTATTTTACATTTTGAGAGTGTGGTTCTGGAAGAGTTAATACCAGTGAGGAGAAAAAAAGGGAAAGAAAAAGGCTTTTATTTAAAAAAAAATAGTTTCTCCTTAAGCTGTAATTAGTCAGCATGAGTTTTATCTTTCCTGACAGCCCCCCTCTCTGCTGTCACTCTTAAAACTAAAGCAGATCATTACATCTCCCCACAGAAGAGACCCACTGAGTAACACTGAACTTGTGATTATAATAAGTTTTATGAGGACCAGCTTTGCGGGGAACCTTGTTTACTCAGCGCAGGTGGATATGACGTCACGGACTTGGAACATCAAAACAAAAACACGCAAATCCGCGTTTCTTCTTTTTTTTCCTTCTCCTGTCTTCCTCCTCTTCTTCTTCTGTTTCTCCCCTCGGCGCGTTAAAATCTAATAACAACAATAAGACAGGAGCTCGCGCCTTCCCCGACGAGGCGGACAGGCAGGCGGCGAGAGCGAAACTCCACGGTGTGCACGGTCTCGACGCCCTCGGTAAGACCATCTTTTTCTCCTTGCAGATAAGTTTAGTTAGACCCCCACCCCTCCTCCCGTCCACCTTCGCCGAGGCGAGCGGAGTAATATTTGTTGGTGTTTACCGTGTGATTTGTTGCCGCWCGCGTTCTCTGCACGCAAAGCTCGCGCTCGCAGGTTCATTTATATCTCCCTCCGCGTGCGCTTGTTCGCTGCTGCAAAGCGGTTTGTTTTATCATGACTCTCTGGGGTAAGTTTTGGTTGTTATAATAATAATATTGAGTTTTTTGTATCTCGAACACTCGCTCGGAGTTTTGACTCCGGCTCCTCTGAAACTGTCAGACTCGACGGACAAACGGATTTCATCACGTAAAGTAGTTTTTAGCTCCGGTTAACTTCGCTGTAAAGACCCGAGCGACAACACAAACCTGCATAAACTACTTTTTATTTATTTTCTAAAAGTTTCTAACTTAGTTGAAGCTCCTCATGATGAGAGCCTAGTGGCAATAACCCTTTGAGGCAAAGGAAAAAATAAGTAACTATTTAGTTATAAATCTGCGAACTGCTGAAAGCAGAAAAGCACTTGTAAAGTAATTATTACATATTAGGAAACCGTTAGAGCCAAGATGGTGAAAGTATTGAGGTGGACAGTAAAGGGGAAGCTTGCGTGCTGTGATTTGTTTAAAAGCAGTGAGGAAGAAGTTTGTCTCCCCACGTGTTACATGTCCTCTACAATCAGAAAAGACAGGAAAACATCAGAAGTGTCTTCAAAAAACATTTAGACTAGTTTTAATGCAGCTTTTTAGGAATACAACTCACCTTAGACTACTTTTATTAGAGCTGTCCTAAAAATATCTATCCCCACCTTTAATAATATAACTGTCCTGGGAAAACACACACACACACACACACACACACACACACA